CCACCCGTCCGCAGCCGCACATGCGCGCGTGTTGCAGTGTCATGTGAGGGGACACGCATGCAGGCCGCGTGGGGCTTGAGGCTGAGACCGCCGCCCCCCGCTGGCGCAGTGGCGCGGCTTCGTGAGTTGGGCGCCTTGCGGCCGCAAAAGGCGGCCTCACCGGCATTGCTCGCCCCACCTCCTTCGCACAGCCCGCTCTGCCCCGAACCACTGGAATCGCGCCTCAACAACACACACACACACACACACACACACACACACACACACACACACACACACACACAATCTTATTGACACACCAAAAATCCCCCCAGAAAGCCCTCAAACGGTTTCACTGTTGCGCTCACCTCCAAGCACTGCGAAGTGATGGTGTGGCACTCCATTCCTACGCCCATGTCCACTCCATGTCACGTACCTCCCCTCCACTCCACTCCACCCGAGAGCCCGGTCGTGGTGGATGAGCAGGACAGCATCAGCGCCGCGCCCAGCGCGCACGACGCCGCGTTTGCCGACGAAATCGACGCCTTCTTCGCCGCCGACACCGAGTCGCCCTTCAACCCCCGGCGGCAGGCGCCTGCCGAGCCCTTCACCTTTGCCGCGGCGGCGGGCCCCAGCGGCGTGGGCAGCGTGGTTGGCGGCGGCTGCCTGCTCGTGGGCGCTACCCTGGACCGGGAGGTCGTCGGAAATTTCCGTGCTCGATGGTGCCTCGGTGGTGCAGGAAGGTTCCCGATGGTAGACCTGCACGCCGGAATCCGGTTAAAGACCATCGAGCGGTCATGATGGTGAACCATCGTGCACCACCGTAGGCGTTTTCTAGCCCATTCAATGCGCTTTATATACTATATATGATTATAGCGCGTTTTTGCGGACAACTGTGCTAATACTGTGCTGTGGCTGCACATCTCTGCAGTTCTGAAGTGTAGGGCTGCACGCTTTGCTGTTGCTGCAGTGCCCCAGTGGACCAGGCCGCCCATGAGGCAGCAAACGGTTAAGTGCACAAACTTTTACCAGTGCTTGCAGCCAGCCCTAACCATGCAAGGCACAAGTCGCCAGCAGGGTTGCACAATTGACCGCAACAGAATTTCAGGGTCGGCAGCAACCTTGGGACTTGACACTGCATCGGTCCAGTGGTCAAATCGGGCCCCATCAAAGGGGACTCTAACGCCACTCACAGCACTGGAAAAAAAATGTAAAACACTTTGTTGCAAACTAGGAGCTGCCCCGTTGCAGCGGCAAAGACAGCATGCCGCCGGCACTGGGGGGGGGGGACGGTGTTGACATCCA